TGAGTCCTGAGAACCTGAGGTAAAGATCTGGAATGAGTCCTGAGAACCTGAGGTAAAGATCTGGACTGAGTCCTGAGAACCTGATTAGTTCCTGCAGTCGCTGCTTCCAAGCACCGGATCACAGGTCTAAATCAAAATAACTCCAACACTGAACTTCACTGGAGCCTGAAGTGTGAAGGCGATACAATGAACGTTCTCCAGATAGGAGAGACACGGACACTGAGTTTAAAAACAAATGGAGTACTTCAGTACAGAGTAAAGTACTCAGTTATGATACAGGACATGCACGAGGAAATAATACATTTTTTGAAGCTTCAGCTAAGCCCTGCCCTCTCATGTCTGATTGGTCACACACCTCAGTCACTGCCACCCTCTTGTTGGCCATGGACATGAGACAAGTCTCCCTCAGCAGCATCTCCTCCTCCTCCTCCTCATCAGCGAACGGAGGTTTGGGGGGGGGCTCCAGGTCATCTGGTGGAGGGGGGAGAGGGGGGGGTGGGGGAGGAAGAGCGGACAGAATGGGGGAGAGGAAAGGCTGAGAGACATCCTGAAAGAAACAGAGACACAGACAAGTTTATACATGACACGTGTTACATGTATGTTCAGAGAACTGAGTGTGTTCAAACTTACTGTTTCACATAGAACTGAATAAAACGATATCAATGACCATCAAAATGCAATTTTCAACAGTATAACTAAAGTTCCATATTTATGGATATAAAACTTATAGATCAGGTTTAACACAGAACTAATCAACCTCAGATTTACATCATGTTTGAAAAGATTTGTAATGAGCAAAAATCTCCAGTTTCACGTGTTTGATGAAGACAGATGAGGAGCGTACCAGTCCGAACTGAGCAGAGTCGGCCACATACAGACACCCCTGAGAGAAACACCCTGAACCTTCAGTGCTGAACGCCACGCGTGTCGGAGACGGGACTGGAAAACAAACCACATGATGATGAAGCACTAACAAGAAAAACAGTGGACAGGATTATGAAACAGTCTGACCTTTAACCTCGTCTGCTCACCTGGTGAACTGGTCTCACTGTCGGTGTCCATCGCCACCTCGTCATAGTTGTCGTATTGGTAGAGGTTACCTGAGGCGTCCAGGCCCGGTTTACCTGTGGACTTCCTGTGTTCACGATCCCTGGACTGAGGGATGGAGAAAGGCTTGTTACTGGTTTTAACCAGCTGAGATTGGTCGACTGGTTTCCACTGGTTTCCACTGGTCAACACAGGACGGACACACACACGCACACGCACAC